GCCAGGCAGTGAGCACAGGGCCCACTAGAGGATGTCAGGCCCTCAGGAAGTCTGTTTCTGATTGTTTAGTCAAAAACATTCACATCAGTGGCCTGCTGGAGGTCATTTTGTAGGGCACTGGCAGTGCTCATCCTGTTCCTTTCTGCACAAAGGAGCAGATACCGGTCCTGCTGATGGGTTAAGGACCTTATATGGCCCTGTCCAGTTCTCCTAGAGTAACTGCCTGGCTCCTGGAATCTCCTCCATGCTCTCAAGACTGTGCTGGGAAAACCAGCAAACCCCTTCTGGCAATGGCACATATTGAAGTGCCATCCTGGAGTTGGACTACCTGTGCAACCTCTGTAGGGTCCAGGTATTGCCTCATGCTACCAGTAGTGACACTGACCCTAGCCCACGGGTGTCAAACTGGCAGCCCTCCAGCTGTTGTCAAAATACAGGTCCCCTGAGGCATTGCAAGATTAACAGTTACAAGCATGACTCCCAAAGGTAGAGGCATTAGGGGACTTGTAGTTTCACAACAGCTGAAGGGCCGCCAATTTGACACCCCTGCCCTAGCCAATGCAAAACTAGTGAAAAACAGTCAGAAAAGTTGAGTAGGGAAAAAAAAGCGTCAGTAGCCTCCACCTGTAAAACCATTCCTGTTTTGGAGGTCAGCTCATTGTTGCCCATCTAGTGCACCTGCTGTTTATTTCATGAACACCAAAGCAGCCGAAACTGATTTACAACCCCCTCTGCTACCTAACTGATCAGATCAATATCCCTAGTTTACTGGACTTGATGCTATACTCTGATTAAAAAGTGTTCCTTTAATTTTTTTTGAGCAGTGTATATCCAGACATTGGAGAAAGATCCTCTGCTGAACTGCAGTCAGCCAGTGAACGGATGAAACACAGATATTCAGGTCTGAACGGTTCTTCTGTGCACAACATAAAACACGACCTATCATTTTAACCCAATCTTTGCTCCTTGGTTTGAAAGTATTTATTTTAACATCACTAGCAGGATAAAAGGAACATTTCAGAATGATTAATAAACCTTCTTTAGGGGAAAAAAATCCTTTAAAAACACTTAACATACTGTTTTCATGAAGCCCCCCAAAAATTTACATTTGAAAAATTATGATACACTTCCAGAAAATGTGTTTGATACAGATACATTTTAATGTTAAAAAAATTGAAGTGCAAACCTCAATTTAGAGTACCGGTAATTTTAACAAGCATATAGCTGTTAAGGCTATTTAGGCCACCTCATCGCAAAGTGTAAGAATGCATGATTCTTGGAAACTGGAGGGGGGGGGGTACCCAATCAGGTCAGCCAGTTAGTTAGTTTAGGATCAGATCGCTATTGAAGTTGTAGTGAAAGACTTGTTTATGATGTATTCATGCTATAAAGCATCCAATGATTTATTTATTCTTTTGCCTTCTATACCATAAATAACATCTCTTTAAGACAACATACAGAATAGTTTCTGTTCCTTAAAAGGTGAATTCCTGTCAGATATAACACAAAATTGCAGCAGCTCTGTACTCATTAATATACCAATAAATGTGTGTTTTAATGCAAGAAGTGTAAATACCTAAATTGCACTTGGCATCAGCCTCTTACAATCCCTGTATACAGAGCTCAGGCTCACAGAAAAGCCCAGTAAGTATAACTTAACTGTGACAGCCACAAATCAAGTCTCTTTCCTGCCAGACAGGGCTGTACTGTGTGGCAGAGCAGTGTAAAGCTCTGAACTGGATGGATAGAAATACAAATCTTTCAGCAGGTTAAGCAGTTGAAAAATGTATTACATCTATTTAGCAGTTTCCCTTAAGTAGAGTCAACAATGTTTAATAAAGTAGCATTTTTGGATTTGCTTTTTTATTCTCACATTTTCCAGTTTTGTTATATCCAATAAATCTGTTTATATAGAACCTTTCAAAGTTATACCTTTTGTATATCACATCTACTCTACTATTTAAAAAAGGAAATCCACTTTGCACATGCAGATTGTAAAATATGGCATTTTTCTATAACAGGGAACACTAACAGATTCCAGATAGAGAAGGTAAAATTCATTACTACCAATAATAAGAAGAGTATTATATGTAAAATAAGGCAATGAGAACACAGTTGCAATTTGATTTTAATTCAGCAGCATAACTTAAACACCCAGTCATTAGTGCAGTGAAACGGACCCGTCCTACCATAACAAATACGTCCAACATATTGCAACAATCCTTTTTCAGCAGGAACTTTCAAACTCTACTTATAAAATAGAAAAAAAAAAAAACACAGTTCTTTTCAGTGTCTGAATTGCATTGATATAACTGCAGTCATAATCTACCATGTAAAAATATATGCGTATCTGTTGAAAAACTCCCATATTTAAAAAAAAAAAAAAAACAAATAAGGCCACAACCCAATCTGTACTGAGGTGTTCCAATCATGGAAAACAACTGCACTAATTTATGGTCTCCAAGAGTTTTCCAAAAACTGGAATAGCAGCTACAACATTATTGCATTACGTTTAGTACTGTGGAATCCCAAAGGGTTTAAGAATCTTTAATAAGAGGAACATAAAAAAAATAGCATATTCCATCACTGGTATCACAAAGTATATAAACTGCGGTGTCAATTATATTACAAGACATTATTACCCCAAGAGTGGCCATGTTAAATTACAGTACCCCAATGAGCAATGATGCTGACATACAGAATGATATGGATCATGAAATCCTGTATCTGTGACAAGTTGCTTTAGGCAGGATGTCATACAATTTTGGTTAATCACTGCAACAAGTAATTGTGACTTCCCAACAACATTGAAAGATGTTGTTTCACTTGTGACTAAAACAAATTGACAAGTCCTTATGCACACTGGACATTTTTACAGTTGCTGGTTTTGGCTCCTACAGCCAGTAAGTTCCCCAGCATGTTATCCTATGTGTCCATGCAGATATAGGCTTTAATCAGCAATTTTTGGTAGGGGCGTATTTTGGCTGGAAACCCCCCCCCCCCCCCCCCCAGAACTAGTGGGTTTCTAGAGGAGTTTTTTAGCTGTAAAAACGCTCTAACGCTGGTAAAACGTGGCAAAACGGCATTTTGGGGCATTTGAGCAAAATTATTTTTTTGTCTGTAAAAATGCTACAAAACCCAAATGCGGAAAAGTGTGGATAGTCGCTAATGCAAAACCGCTACAAAAAAAAACACACACGTTTTTAACATGACTTTACACAGCTAACACTACCAGCATTATTAAAACACCCAATGAGCATGGAGCCTTAACCTCCCTCATCCATGTGCTAACGTTGCCTGATAAGGTGCAATCAACCATAAAACAATTCATCTTACAACTAAGCATTGTAAACATGTTTTTAACTTTTCAAGAATATACTGAAAAGCATCTGATGGAAACTATATAGACAAAATTAGACAAAAGAACTTTGGAAAGGCAAGTTAGATGCTAAAACGATTTACCCATGGCCAAGCTGATGTAACAGCAGCAGTACGGTTTAAGCTTCTTTGCCCCAATACGGAGGATTAATATTTTAGGAATGCTGAAGGCATTCTTTATGGGCTTATGCCTTACTCTAGGGTGGTGCAGCTACGTGTCCAATGTTTACATCAGACATTGGCAGCTGGAGAGAAATAATGCCTGTAGGTAACTGCCATCCTTATAGCAGTCTAGTAAAGCTGGCTATAAAAACAAAAAGTATGTCTTTCCCATAAGTCTGATTTAGCAATATCATTAATAAGTTCTTCAAACAAGATATTTTAAAGACCATATATGCAGCAAAAGAAGGAATAAACACAATGACCATACACCAGTGTGGTCATCAAACCAGATCTACAACCATTCAACACACAACAGAACACTGAACAGGGTGTTTTTGTCCCAAAAGCAAGGCAATTAGGCCTAAAATGTTACGATGTCATTATAGTGGTTGATTTGTTATGGAATGGAGGGCGCGCCCTCTATTCATAGATCATGTTTCATTCATAGAAACTGTAGTATAGGCTTCTATAAATGGAGGAGCTGGGTAGGAAAGGGCAGGCATAGTCAGGAAGTCAGATTTATGAGCTCCCTAAGCTCTATTAACCCCTGCTGCACCAGAAGATTATTGGGGGGGTCTCTATTTAGATTTCAAGCAAACCAGGAGTCAGCAGCACTTTAACAGTAAGTCATGTCCTTTGTGCCGATTTGTGTTTATTTTGGACTACACCTAGGCTTTAATGAAGCCACTTGCAGTACAGTGTACTTTTATCTTGGTGGAAGGAACGGTACCAAGGGACACAAATCTCGCATTACTAAAAGGTGTACGCTGCCATTTAGAAAGTCTTTCAGAGGGATCATGTCATGAGGAAAATAGAGGGCTGCCATTTCCAATATCCTTCTGAAAATGCTGGTTTCCATACAAAGTCACTTGCTTACAACACACATGCATTTTTGGAGTTTTCACTTTAGTGACTGCATGTTTGTTCTGGGCTTGTGACTTTGAAAGTACAGAAACCAGAGAGAAAGTCAGGCAAATAGTATTTTCAGAATTAAAAAAAAAAAATCAATAAGTAAACCCATTTTTCTTTCATTACGGATTTCTTTTAATACCTACACTAAACTAGATAACATTTTGGCAAATGGCAGAGTAACTCTGTGGTTAAGAATAATTCCACCGACAATCGATATTTCCATCTTGAGCAAACATGAGCAGGATTCCAAGATGTCACACTGCTGCTATTAGATTCTCAATGTATTGTATGTCATAGTCAACTCAGCAGAGATGATGTAGTGGGTTTGGCTGGGAGAAATTAGGCAGGAACGCCTCCTGGGAGATATTAACTTCAGAGTTTTTCAGGATAGGACATTTGGAAGGGTTAAATTTCAGTTAGGATTGGTTTTGCCCTTTAAAGCTATAAAGATGTCTGAAAGACAACAAATCATTTATCTAGCTATGCTGTGCAGCACTTATTCATTTATATTATTTATCTAGCTATGCCACATCATTTTACCTATCCATTTAACCTTTTGAGCCTGGCTTTAAACTCGCAAATACTCTGGAACTTTTGAGGGAATGGGAAAGTTCATTGAGAAAAGAAATAAAGTGGGAGTCTCTCTCTGACTTTTTGGATTCAAAAATCACAACAAGGGTAAATTGTGGCTCAGGGCGTGTCAGAAAATAGGTACTTTGAACTTTGTCATCGTAAAAGTATACAACTTTCTCTAAAGTGTTAAGATCTGCACTTTTGTCAGTCATTATCATAATAACATTGGGCCAGTGCATAACAGGTCTGTCAGAGGGCAATGATACCACTGCAGGATATTGGTCCACACCTTTGGGGGCTTCTCTATAAGAATCTGGATGGTGGTAGCCATGACCTTGAAAGCTTTCTGAACCCCTATTGTCAAAAATTAAGGACACATTGACCGCATCATATTTTCTTATGAAGCTGGAGATTTTTCCAAAGTAGTCTGGATTAGTTTTAGCAGTCAAGGTTTTCATTTCTGAGGTCTGTCGGCTTAAAGCTTCATGGAAGTAAAGCGTAAACTTGGCGAGTAGATTATTTTTAAACTTCATGAGCCACAGGAAAAGATGTGGAGGTTGCACTGCTTTTTGCGACTGTCCTCCAAATAAATGTTTCTTGGTTTCTTTTTGCTTTTCAAATATTTGACCCCATGTCTGTAGCTTAGTATGGGCATTGTGCAAGTTTACAAGAGACAAAAGAAACTTCCACTCAAATATCAAGCTTTGTGCTTTTAAAAGGTGTGCAAGAACATCAACTTCAAGCTGGAATCCACTTTCCAGAGGAGACAGGAGAGGATGATGAAACCTACAAAACAGAGCATAGCAATATGTAAATACAGCCCCACGCAGATCAGACACAAAGACATATTACTATAAAGGTATAAACATCAAATCGATAATTACCAGATTGAGCTTCAAGGATAAGATCACCTTTTGCTAAAAAATAACAAATGCACATGTTTTTTGCAGGTAGAAAAAAAAAAGAAAAAAAGAAAAAAAAAGTGCCTTATTTCATGTTGCAGGAGCTTGTAAACCATTGCACCAGTGATCAGTAGATCGCTGGAGTTATGCAGGTCTCCTGCAGACATGACAGTATATCTGCTGGTACAGGCAAGCAGATATATTGACATAAAGAATCAATGAACTACCATGGTGCTCCACAGCTTCGTCGTACTTCATTAAGAACTACAAGCCAACAGCCATTAAGGCTGTCGGGACTTGTAGTTTCTCATTCACAGAGGACTGTGAATGAGTGACGAGGATGGGCAGGCAGAGCACCGCACGACTGCATTTTTTTTAAAATTTTGACAGCTAGCGTGAGGAGAAGATCCCCCCCACTAGCTATCAAAGCGGGAGACCGGTCTATTCATAACATACCATGTTAGACCCTGAATATGGGTGTAACACGTTATGAAAAGGGAACTCATCTTTCAGGCCATGTTTATTTTTCACACAATACAGCAACATCATTAAAATGTACAGTATCATGTAAAAAAATGTGCTCATATTTTTTTACCTCAGAGCCCAAGTCTATTAATTTATTTCCAGCACGAGGGACAGTACTCACAGTGAATGAGAAGTGTCCCTTGTGCTGGTGGCTGCTTATTCTTCTGACTCCCCGCCCCCCCCCCCAAAAAAAAAAAATCTTCCAGTACTGCAGGGGATAATACAGCCACTTGATCTGTTAGTAGTGCTCCTCCAGAGTTTCAGCTGTGCTTGGCCTTTCAGCACTACTCCTCCTCTTCCAATATTCAAAGCATTATTTAAGTATTAAAGTTTCTATCAATGAAAAGTGCACCATGAATGGAATTAATCTGCCCATCCCCCATTCATACAACACTTTTATTGATGGAAGCTATATTACAGCTTCTGTAAATGGAGAAAGGTGGCAGAAGGGGTGGGAACAGTCCACAATTTTAGCAGGTATTTTTGACAAGCCCAGCAGCTGTAAAAATCCCCATGGTACTGGAAGATTACTGCTGTGGGGATATGGGGGAAGGTTTGGGGAAACAAAATATTTAGATTAAGACAGCAACCTCCTGCAAGAGAGACATTTCATTGAATGTAAGCACTGTCCCTTGCATCATGTAACCGCTTTACCACTGCCCCATAGCAGAAATACTGCTATAGGGCTGTGCAAAATCTCTCACACACACACACACACACACACACGTGTGTTTTTGCATTTCCAGGTAGGGGAGTGCCCTACCTACGCTGCCATTCGTGGCCTCGGCTGTCAATCACCAGGTCCCAGCCAGTGATTACTTGCTGGCACCCAGTGATCGCTGAGTTATACCGACAGGGGGCAGAGAACCGTTTGTAAACAATACAGTTCTCCAGTCAGCTCCAGCACACTGCTTTGTATGGTTCTGCACAGCAAATCCACCAAATAGAGCTTTCCAAAAGAAAGCTCTATTTATGTGAAATAAAATTATAATTTCATATGGGTACAGTGTTGCATGACCACGCAATTGTCATTCAAATTGCAACAGTGTTGAAAGCTGAAAATTGGACTGGGCAGGAAGGGGGTATAAGTGCCCAGTAGGCAAGTGGTTAATAGCAAAAAATCAAAAATATTTTTTTTTCTCAAAATTGTTGGGTTTTTTTTGTTTATAGTGCAAAAAAATTAAAAAATGCAAAGGCGATCAAATACCATTGAAAGAAAGCTATTCATGGGGAAAGAAAAAGGACATAAATTTCATTTAGGTGCAGAGTTTCATGACTGTGCAATTGTCAGTAAAAGTAAAGCAGCGCCGTAATGCAAAAAATGGCTTGGTCAGGAAGAGGGGTAAATCCTCTGGTTAAAAAAGTGGTTAAAAAAAAATCTAACTAAAAATAAAAAAAAAAAAAAAACCACTTAGGCTTTAATTTTTTACCTCTATATTTAACTTGGAGAAAAAGCCCTTTGGCTTAGGAGGCTGCATGAATACTCCTATTAGAATATACATACAATCAGCCAGAAAAACACAAAGCAATCACTCTACAGAATATAGGGAAAAAAAATATGAGACTATAGAGCTGGAAAAAGAAAAAACAAAAAGGCTAGTAATAACATACTGTGAGAATGTGTACCTAGTACAGAGGAAAAAAAAAAAGGAATCCAAAATGGTACCATATGGTAAAAACTATAGTTAATAAGGAACAGAAGCAAAAACAAAAAAAAAAAAAAAAAAAAAACCTGACAACCCAATTGCTGTACGTAGACCACTAAAGAAAGGACTAATATGGAACATCATTTCACAGTCTGAGAATCCAATTACTGACCTTGAATTGACAGACCGCCACCCCAAAACAAAATGTAGCAAAAAAAAAAAATGAATTCCAGCTCAGATTGATAATTCAGGGTTTCTGAATGGTCACTGCTAAACTGAATCACATGCAGATTTGTAATTTTCTTGGCAACACCCCACCACAAAAATTCCCAACTACAATTACTACCACTATTACAAAGTCTGCTCAGAGAAATTATTTATGGAGTCTTTAAAGGAAACTGCTTCTGTAAGAAAGAGGTCAGCTAGCATTGCAGATGAGTGATGACCTAAGGTTGGGGTTGAACCCAGTTCAGCCCAAACCCAGGATATCCTATAACATGATAGCAGATCACTGGCCCATTCAGTGGTGGCTGGTTAATCCCCTTCCCTGCAGGCAGACATAACAAAAGGAGTGGGGATGCTGGGGACATTTGTGGCCCAATATGGTCACATGGGCCATATTAGGTCAATGATGTCACCAGCATCCCCGCCCCCTTGTTATGTGCAGCTGCAGAGCCAGCAGCTTGCTATCACATGTCAGTTTACCACAGACCTGGGCTGAAGTGGGTTCAGGCTGAACCTTAGCTCATCACTACTCTTAAATACAGTTGCATGCTACAGTTTGGGCACTCCTGGCTAAAATGTCATATTAAAAGGTAATTATATAAGTAAAAAGTAGTAAGCAACTACTGCAGGAAACAAGGTGTTAAAAATACTTATGTACAAATGTTAATGAACAGTTGCATATTTTTCTTCTAAAGCTGTAAAAGAGAAGTGTAGAAATATAGAAAAAGACACAAACAATCATACTCACCTAGGTCGCTGCAGCGCCAGTCCCAGCTATGGCTGTTCCCTGGCGGCTTTACCCTGAGAACTGAGCAATCAAACACTGCTGATTGCTCAGTTCTGCCCCTCTGCTCTGAGCAGAGAGTGTGACTGTCAATCACCAGCTCTCTGTTCTGCCCCTCCAGCTGTCACTGGAGCACTGGGCTGTGGAGGGGGACAGAAGATGCTGGCTCTGGCTTTCAGCTGTTCACCAAGAGGCTGAGCCAGCTGCTATCTGCTATTCCAGGAATTTAGGTGGATCCCAAGTCAGGATCTTCCCCAAGCCTGAAATGGTTGAATCCAGCTGACAAACAGAATCGCAACTAGTGTATTTTGGATTTGTTCTGCCCTAGGCAAGACTACAATCAGGTGCCCTCCCCCAAATTAAGATAGACAGTGTGACTGGGGGGGGGGGGGGGGGGGGTGGATGTCAGTGAAACAGGAGGAGAACATGCAGTTCCTTCTTGTCCACTAAGCTATAGTACATTCCTTGCTGTGAATGGAGGTGCAGCCATGGAATGAGAGCATTCCAGGGATCATTCACTGACCGTAATGCATTGTGCAATTGTAGTAATACCAGTTCTGTGATTGGTGGAGAAGGCAGAAGTGGGTGGCTGAGTAGTACAACTTTTCTCAGTACCAGCGGCTGAGAGCTTCTCAGGGTGGTATTAAGTGGCTGAGAGTGAGGCACTGCTAGGGAGACACATAGCGGAATACCCAGCATTCCACACATATGTTTGGTGCTCCATCTCCCCATATAAGATACTAAACTCCACTCTGTATTGGTGACAGGGGCTCTCTAGAAATAGAAGTGTTCTCTCGCTATCAGCAACAAGTTGGTCTCAGCGTTCACCTGTCTATGGTTGCTGGGAGTACACTATTCATGGAGGGTGAGCGGTGTGCGCTCCCATTGGTGGGAGGACAGTCCCACCCTCGCGCTGTATGGGGGCAGTGTTGTGTAGCACACACCAATTTCCTCACAGTGTGCAAGCGATGACAAAGTCCATGGCTGACTTACCCCCCCCCCCCCGGCTCCTCTCCTTCAGCGTTGTGTCAGCCCTGTGCCACCTGCCATGCTGCTGTGAAGTCCGCTCTGCACAGTCCAGGCGCCATGGCCAAGATCCGGGTGGTTTATGAATACTCAGAGGCCGAAGACAAGAGCATGTGGCTGGGCTTGTTCCTCATCATCTCCAGGGTCGTGCCTCTCTACACCCTCGGCTTTTGCTGGCTCAACTCAGGGCACCACTGCAACGTGCACTGCCCCCCCCCCCCTCCCGGATGGCGACCCTGCTGCTCAAACCCACGTGTCCCTTCTGCCTGGGGGGCAGCGCCACCCCCCTGTAAAATGCTATGCAAAGCGAATGCATTATTTGCTTCCAGGAGATATGCCCCTGCCTGTGATCAATAGAAGTACAGCCCAAACATCTTTGGCTAGACTTCTCTTTTAACCCTTTTGACCACCAAGGACATGTCTTGTACATCACAGTCAAAGGGTTAATACAAACTTGCAGTTTCTTCAGTTTATTGCCATCACAAATGATTAAAAAATTTACAAATTAAACGACCCTGCCCCCTCACACTAACATAAATGAACATGTACCTAGAATGCGTGTGTGTACATAAACACTGATGATTTTGAAAGACATTTTGTTACGCCACTCATTCCAGAACAAGAGGAATAATTCCAGGCTTACAGTAAGCTGTAAATTGAGCGGGTTTTGAACCATTTCATTACCAGACACGTTTACCCCTTTACTTTTTTTTTTTTATAATTCTGTGAGACAGACAGAGCTTTCTTTTGGTGGAATTTATTCATCAGTGGGGGTTTTTTTTTTTTTTTTGCTATATAAAAATGAGGAAAAAAAAGTTTTCCTTAGTTTTTGTTATCAAATCTGGCAAATAAATAATCTTTCCACATACATTTAGGCCAAAATGTATCCTGCTACATTTCTTTGGTAAAAATAACCCAAATCAGTGTCTCAAATCTCATTTCTTGAGGCCCTTAAATTGCCAAGACAGTACAAATATCCCCCAAATGACCCCCCTTTTTGAAAAGGAGACAGTCCAAGGTATTTAATAAGAGGCATGGTGAGTTTTTCAAAGTTGTAATTGTTTGGAAAATGAAGAAATTAAATAAAAAATAAAATTAGTTTTTGTTTCACAATTATTCTTTTTTTTTTTTCAAAACAAACTGTCACTAGTGCAATACAGCATCACCAAATGAATGGTATGGTGATCAGGGACACTGAATGTTGACAGTATGCAAAAAAGGTTATTTTTTAAACTTTTACTGTTAACTTTTTTAAATACTGTGACCACAGCAGCACAGTGTCACCATAGTGACACTGTACTACTCTGGGGAGGTGATCAGGTTTTTTTTTTTTTTTTCTTTTGTTTTTTTAATACTATGATGTACAGTGATGATCACTATAATAATCTCTAACACCGTTCATTCATGAAACCGTTTCTTACTACGGTGATTGGCTCCTGTACCATGTGGTCACTGTGACCAATCACAGAGATGACAATATTACACACAATGGCTATGAATGAAAGCCATTGGTTACAGCAATCACAAAGGTACCAGGGCAGCGCACAGCAGCCCCGTACAATGATCTGTGTTCTGCTGGGTCATAGATTGCGCAACTACGTCCCTCCTAGGGTGCGCATGAAGTGAGCAAATGGGAGGACATGATGTGGGATCACAGTGCTGGGCAGGAGGTGGTTAAATGGTCCCCACATGCAATTTTATAGTTTTAGGTATCTTAGTTTAGGTCTTGACAGTTGCTAATTTCACACAATCTTTTATACTTTTTTTTTTTTTGGGGGGGGGGGGGGGGGGGGGGTAAGAGGTTTTTTTGTGCTTACGTGCACTTAAATTTTAGATTATTTACTGAAAATATAGTAGAGTTGCACAGATATTATGCAACACGTAACTCAGTCCTCAATTTAGCCACCAAGATGCAAGACAAATTTGCGATACTTCCAGATGTAAAAGTATTTTTTCTCCTACTTGGCAATGTTGGCTATTGGCCCCTCAGGCACCCAGCACTGTTGCATTGGGGTGGGGAGCAAGTTCTTAGCCCTGTGAAAGCTTGCAGGTTGTGACCTGTAGCTTATAAAGAACTTCCTCTTCATTCCCAGGAGCTTGCTGTATAAACATTTTCCAAAATAAGCGAAGTTATATGGAGTAACTCTGCCTACACAATTATTTCTCAGTAGGAACCATATCTCCATATATTACAGATATACATCAAAAATTAAAACCCATTGGGACCAGAAGCCTGACTCCGCACATTGATTATACACCGACGCCTATGGTTTTATAAAAAAGTGTTATTATATTTTGTGGAAATAAAAAAATGATTTTATACAATGGGTGATTTTGCTGTGGCACATATGAAGTTCTATCTTCCTGGTTTTGTCCTTTTTGGCAAATGGGGGATTTTCTTGTGTACGATAAAATAGGAGCTGTCTTTTGAACTGGTTCACACATTTGCACTTTAACATTTATCAGAAAGCCAATGAGACTTTACGAAGACTGAAGCAGAGAGAATCTGGAGCAGCTGTGCATGGCAACCAATCAGCTTCTACCTTTCATTTTCAAAACTTAACTGAATAAGCTAGAGTTACAAGGTGATTGGTTTATATTCAAAGCTGCTCCAGATTCTGGCTGCCATAATCTTAGAAAATCCCCCCCAATGTTTTTTTGGGTGGACAAGTAGGATAACTATGGACCTTACCTGGAACTGTACTTCTTTAAAATGACTTCCAAAATATTGACCAACTCCTCAGCATTAATGAATTTCTGATTGCTCAGAGAGTACATTTTTTCATAGAAATCTGCAATTTCCATGCGAGCCTGAATAAAAAAGCACAACTGCTCTGACAGATGGGAGAGCAGTTCTTCCAAGTGAGGTGCTGTCCCACCAATAGCATGTTTTCCTGTTGACACCACTTTTTTCAGTTCATTGTACAGCGAGGTGTAATTTGTCCTGATTGAATCTTTTCTGCTGAAAAATGATTGACCACCTACAAACAACAGAATACATTTTAACACAAAAGCTAAACACATTGAAAATACATTTTTGCAAGCTTTTGTATCTACACTAACGTGCAAGTCCTACCAAGCAATGAACTTACCCTAATTGTTGTCTTTTGGTCTGTTATATATACACACACACCACTGAGAGCATTTTGTTATATCAGTTTTAAAAGGAAAATATACTCTTGTCTGCAATTCAGAGCTGTATTGTGTTTAGTTTTTCCTGCCTGTGTTGCCTCAAGGAGACTATTTAGCCCTCCCTCTTCTTTACTTAGACTACAAGACAGTGGAAGTGGTTGAGTAGTTTAGCAAAAGACAATGGGAAGGGCTGACACAACTTAGTCCACAAAAAAGCTGTGTGTTGCCAGTCACCAGGAAAATTAAAAGCTGAGTGCAATAGGTATTTTTAAAAACAAGGATAAAACAAGGAGGATTTGTGCATGCATTGCAGAGATGTAATATATAGGTTTTGTTTGTTTTTTTTTTAATGCATTGACATAGGCTTTTAGACAGGGCTTGACAAATCCCAGGTGCCAGGTCACCATTGCAACTAAAAATTGCATCCTGACACCTGGGCTTTTGTCAGCCCATTCATCATCCGGAGGGGCCTCCTTTCAGCACACTCAGACTGTCCTCGGTGCTCAATCAACAACTGTGTGCCTGCGTACTGGGCGATGTTCAGTCTCGGCATAGGGGCTTCTTCAGCCTCACACAGTGCAGAGGGTAGCAGGAGAGCGGCGGTTGTCTTCCCAGGTTGCAAGATAGAATCTGAGCTGGTCTACTGAGGCCTTATACTGGGGAGGGAAGAGATCGCTGCTGCCATCATGGCTCAGGAGAATGTGGAGATCCCCAGCGATCGTAGCCTGAAAAGGTCCAACAGTGCCCCCAGATTAATGGGCTCAGGTGAGGTGGAGGTGCAGGTGGGGAGGGGGGGCTGTGCACTGTGATGACCTGTGGATGATGTGTTCAGGAAGGAGACAACCTGTGGATTTCCAGCTGTGAAGAAGCTGCACTGCAGCATCCCTAGCACATTAAATCCAGTTTTAGAAAAATGCTCCATTGTCATCAAACTTGTAAGCCATACACAGCCTGTCCACAAAAGCTCCCAATAGGTGCCCCCCCACTGCAAAGACCATGGAGAGGCAGTTCTTAATCTCTCAACGATCAGCCCCTTCTGTTACAGGCCACTTACAGTGTGATCTCCCTCCACGAGCTTCCACTGGCCCCCTTTCATAAAATGTAAAATACTAACATACAAAGCCATCCACATCACCAACTTTGTTTCAAAGCTATCACCCAAGCCATCCTCTTGCTGCTCCCAATACCTGCTGCTTTCTAGCTCCCTCCTTGCCTTTTCCCCCTTGCTGGTCTTCAGGACTTCCCTAGAGCTTCTCATTTACTGGAACTCCGTACCCCAATCTGTCCGCCTATATCCTAAACTGTCTGCTTTCAGATAACACCATCTCTACCCAACAACTGAACCTTTACTTTCGCCATCAACTCATCACAGGAAGTGAGGGAAAATCTATGTCAACACCTTCCTTGCATTTCAGTGGCCAAAACCAGAAACTGCCCACCTGTTCCCGGGGATGGTCATCAATTCTGCAAAAGAATTAAAAAAACACAGGTACCTCATATAACCCCTCTACCTGAGGAGAGCACAATGCCACCCACGACTCCGAACGCAGTGTTTCCACCATGACGGAAAAAAACAAAGAAACAGGCCATGGTGGAAATGTCCTGCTTTTAAAGATCTTGCTGGAGTATTCCCTGGGAATTTGGGTGGAGCTTCGCTCTCCAGGCGCTGAAAGACATTTTGGGAAAAAATGTTTTTTACTAGTAGAAGGCTAGAACCTTCATCAGCTTTTTATTTCTGTGTCCCTGTTAGAAAATTTCCCTCACTTCCTGTCTGCTGAAACAGTTATCACTTTGAGGTCCCTTTCAAATGAGCAGACTCTGCTAGCAGATCCGCCTGCTCGGCAGGGGATCTGCCCGCTGATCTCCGCAGAGCAGGTGGATGACAGGACCATGTTTACTCTGCTTAAGCAGAGCAGACACAGCCTGCTTTCCTCCATGGGCACTAGGGTGTAAACAGACCACATATCAGTTTATATCTGTCATCCGATCCGCTAGATGGATGGGGAACAAATCCCCATCTATCTGTTTTTAGCAAATCGGATGCAGGCAGGTGTACATGGTCACGTCTGTTTGCATCCACCTCTCCATACACGGCAATAGATGGTCCGATCAAGTCCGCCTGAAAAACAGCCAGGAGGACCGCTGGGTACTAACACAAACGGGCAATAGTTATTTTTTAAAATTACCTTATTATGGCCACTATATGCAACTAATAGTAGAAAAGTATTTCCTATGATCATCAGCTTAGTGTATCTTCTGGATGAAGAACATCTAGCCCAAAAACATTTTTCTGGCATTTGCACTGTAGGAACATACAGTCAGGTCCATAAATATTGGGACATGGACACAATTCTAACATTTTTGGCTCTATACACCACCACAATGGATTTGAAATGAAACGAACAAGATGTGCTTTAACTGCAGACTGTCAGCTTTAATTTGAGGGTATTTACATCCAAATCAGGTGAACGGTGTAGGAATTACAACAGTTTGCATATGTGCCTCCCACTTGTCAAGGGACCAAAAGTAATGGGACAGAATAATAATCATAAATCAAACTTTCACTTTTTAATACTTGGTTGCAAATCCTTTGCAGTCAATTACAGCCTGAAGTCTGGAACGCATAGACATCACCAGACGCTGGGTTTCATCCCTGGTGATGCTCTGCCAGGCCTCTACTGCAACTGTCTTCAGTTCCTGCTTGTTCTTGGGGCATTTTCCCTTCAGTTTTGTCTTCAGCAAGTGAAATGCATGCTCAATCGGATTCAGGTCAGGCGATTGACTTGGCCATTGCATAACATTCCACTTCTTTCCCTTAAAAAACTCTTTGGTTGCTTTTGCAGTATGCTTTGGGTCATTGTCCATCTGCACTGTGAAGCGCCATCCAATGAGTTCTGAAGCATTTGGCTGAATATGAGCAGATAATATTCCCGAAACACTTCAGAATTCATCCTGCTGCTTTTGTCAGCAATCACATCATCAATAAATACAAGAGAACCAGTTCCATTGGCAGCCATACATGCCCACGCCATGACACTACCACCACCATGCTTCACTGATGAGGTGGTATGCTTAGGATCATGAACAGTTCCTTTCCTTCTCCATACTCTTCTCTTCCCATCACTCTGGTACAAGTTGATCTTGGTCTCATCTGTCCATAGGATGTTGTTCCAGAACTGTGAAGGCTTTTGTAGATGTCGTTTGGCAAACTCTAATCTGGCCTTCCTGTTTTTGAGGCTCACCAATGGTTTACATCTTGTGGTGAACCCTCTGTATTCACTCTGGTGAAGTTTTCTCTTGATTGTTGACTTTGACACACATACACCTACCTCCTGGAGCGTATTCTTGATCTGCCCAACTGTTGTGAAGGGTGTTTTCTTCACCAGGGAAAGAATTCTTCGGTCATCCACCACAGTTGTTTTCCGTGGTCTTCCGGGTCTTTTGGTGTTGCTGAGCTCACCGGTGCGTTCCTTCTTTTTAAGAATGTTCCAAACAGTTGTTTTGGCCACGCCTAATGTTTTTGCTCTCTGATGGGTTTGTTTTGTTTTTTCAGCCTAATGATGGCTTGCTTCACTGATAGTGACAGCTCTTTGGATCTCATCTTGAGAGTTGACAGCAGCAGATTCCAAATGCAAATAGCACACTTGAAATGAACTCTGGACCTTTTATCTGCTCATTGTAATTGGGATAATGAGGGAATAACACACACCTGGCCATGGAACAGCTGAGAGCCAATTGTCCCATTACGTTTGGTCCCTTAACAAGTTGGAGGAACATATGCAAACTGTTGTAATTCCTACACCGTTCACCCGATTTGGATGTAAATACCCTCAAATTAAAGCGGACAGTCTGCAGTTAAAGCACATCTTGTTCGTTTCATTTCAAATCCATTGTGGTGGTGTATAGAGCCAAAAATGTTAGAATTGTGTCGATGTCCCAATATTTATGGACCTGACTGTACATGCAGTTTTGCAGGACAAATAGCTCTGCAAATTTCCTATAAATACATCCCTTAGCGAGAGAAAACCTTGTTAATGAAGTCCCAGTGAGCAGTAAAACAGAGAGGGTATACTTCCCTGCTCACATCAAGGCAAAAAGGCTGAGCACCTCTATCAAGTTTTTATTGCCGTCTGTGTTGTCCCCATTGGGAAGAATAGCCCCCTCTTTGTCCTGGTGACCATTTTCACCATGGCAAATATTAAAGAGAATCCCCCTGCCCTTGTGGTTTTCTTTACTCTTACCTGGTATTTGGAGTTATCGCCAAAACACATACTCGCATGTCTAATGAATCCAACGCTGTCTTACCGTCACCTGTAGGTTCTGTGCTGCTCTCTGGTTTGCTGATGTCATTGATAGCCAGCTGTCTTCTGGGACCTCTGATGATGCTCCACTGCACATGTGCAGCATGTTTTACATAGCCCTGAGGCCTCCTGTGATATGTGAAGTGGGTATCCCAGGAGGCTGCAGGCAGAAAGGGTCGGCAATGTTGCCTAGGTGAGAAAGCCTGAAGAGCAAGCTATACTCCACAAAAAAAAAAAATCCTAAATGATGGAAAGGAGCTAGATTCAATAAAGATGAAAATGGGTGAAGAGTTCCAATTTAAGGATAAATTCAAAAACTTTGCATTGTCACCACCGCAAGATATAAGTGGATACTTCAACAGGGACACCTTTCCGGTGATAAGCTAAGATGGGAACTGCCTTCACTTTAGGGATTTCCTGTTGCATCACTTAAGAGGAACACAGGCAGTGAAAATTTAAAATTGGCATGGCTGTGTGGGGCTCCGCCCACAGGGCCCTGTCATTCATTCACAGGAATCTGTGAATGAAGAAATTATGAATTCTGTCTG